CACTTCTTTCTGGATGTAATCTATTGTCAGACTTGTGCGATATAATATATATATATATATATATATATATATATATATATATATATAATATATATATACAGGGTGAGTCACGCTAAAGATATTAAAAATTCCTTTTGTAGGAATACGTAGGTCAGTACCAACTACAAATTAAAATTTGTGAGATATATACAGGGTGTCCCAATTTGGCGTAATGATATAAACTTATACTTTTTTAAATGGAATAACCTATATTTCACTTTAATTTTGAATTCTACTGAACAAAATAATGTTACTTTATTCAACATTCCCTATACCTATTTTTGACCGGTTTCGATTTATTTGGGTTTTTCTGAAAATGTACTATTCGCGAAATTAATTAATTACACAATATCGCATCAGTTATAATTAACGCCTTTTTGTCAATTAATTTCCAAGTGTCCATGCTTTACATCAGAATAATTACCAATTGAAATTAATCTATAGAGTGTTCGCAATACGATGTGTCAATGCTGTATAATAGTTTGTGTAATTACTTTCTAAACTTAAATGGGACACCCTGTATTTTACTTTAATTTTGAATTCTAATCAAAAAAATAATATTACTTTATTAAACAATCCCTATACCTATCCTTTATAATTTTCGATTAATTTGGGTTTTTATGAAAATGCACTATTCTTGAAATTAATTAATTACACTTTATTACATAAAGTTAACAAAACACACTAGAAAAAAATTAATTTACATTAAATGTTCAAAATGGTGTCCATTTTCTTCAATACATAACCTCACTCTGTGTTCAAAATTTTGTTTTACTCTTCTTAGCATTTCTGGAGTAACTGTTGCAACCGCATTACGAATACGCATTTTCATGTCTTCAGCGGTTGTAGGTGGAGTTTGATAAACCAGACTTTTATTATATCCCCAAAAAAAAAAGTCCATTGATGTTAACCCAGGTGATCTAGGGGGCCAATTGACAGCACCACCCCTACCTATCCACTTTCCGGGAAATTTTCTGTCTAAATATTCTCTAACGTTACGCGTGTAATGTGCTGGAGCACCGTCTAGCTGCAGAAACATTGTTCTTCTAATATTTAAAGGGATATTTTGCAAAAGTATCCAAAAGTCTCTTCGTAGAAATCTTAAAAACTTTTGTTCATTTGAATGGCCAATAAAAATTACGGTCCTATCACATGTTCTCCTATTATTCCACCATATACATTAAGGGACCATCGGTTTTGTCGATCAGTACATATATATTCATGTTAATTTTCCGTATTATAATAGTGAAAGTTATGTCGGTTCACGGTTCACGAGAAATTTTATCAAAAAAATGTTGATCTGCTCCCTTTTTGTCTAGAAACCATAAACAAAATTCTAACCTACGTTCAAAATCAGTTCCATAGAAATGCTGATGCATTTGAATATGGTATGGGTGATATTGATATTTTTTAAGAATTCTGCATATACTAGTTTGGCTTACTTCAATCTCCCTGGCCATCGTCCTTGTACTTGTATTTGGATTTTCAATAACTGATTGAATAACTTCTAATTCGGTGTTTTCATCTTCAGTTATCGGATTTATTAATTTTCGTTTAGTATAAACAACACTGCCAGTTTCACGAAACCTTGTTAAGACTCTGTCAAATACTTCTTTACGAGGATGACGTGTTAAGGGAAATCTCTCAGCATAGACTCTTGATGCTAAAAAACTGTTTTGATCACATTCACCCAGTATTAAAATCATATTTACTCGGTTTTCAATTGAATAATCTGCCATTTCTATTTAATTGAAAGCAATACAGTTAATAGTTTGACAATTAGTTTGACAGATAGGTACCTTTTGTTTTTTCATGGCATTCTTTATAATAACGAGCTATGTAATTAAATGTTCCAGGTAACATAATGCAAATAGATTTCAAGATACTAGATATTAATATAAAATTTTATAATAGTTTGATTATAATAATTGTTACAACATTCAAATACAGGGTTTTTGTTTAAGTTAGAGTAGAACTTTATGTAATAAAGTGATAAAAATTAATTAATTTCAAGAATACATAGTGCATTTTCAAAAAAACGCAAATAAATCAAAAATTCTCAAAGATAGGTATAGGGATTGTTTAATAAAGTAATATTATTTTTTTAATTAGAATTCAAAATTAAAGTAAAATACAGGGCGTCCCATTTAAGTTAAGAAAGTAATTATACAAAATATGGTACAGCATTGACACTTCAGATTGCGAACACTCTGTAGATTAGTTTCAAATGGTAATTGTTCTGATGTAAAGCATGGACACTTGACAATTAACTAACAAAAATGTGTTAATTAAAATTAATGCGATATTGTGTAATTAATTAATTTCGCGAATAGTACATTTTCAGAAAAACCCAAATAAATCGAAACCAGTCAAAAATAGGTATAGTGAATGTTGAATAAAGTAACATTATTTTGTTCAGTAGAATTCAAAATTAAAGTGAAATATATGTTGTTCCATTTAAAAAAGTATAAGTTTAATTCATTACGCCAAATTGGGACACCCTGTATATATCTCACAAATTTTAATTTGTAGCCGGTACTAACCCCTACGTATTCCTGCAAAAGAATTTTTTAATATCTTTAGCCGTTTCCCCGGTAGGCTCCGTCCCGTTGAGCGTGACTCACCCTGTATATATATATATATATATATATATATATATATATACAGAGTGGTATATTCAGTCATTATTGGAATTTCCTATTCAATACGAGTTCAACCATATGTAACACTTATGATTTTATGTACTCTGAAAGGTCTTAAAATAAATACATAAAACAGAAGTCTAGGAACGCCTTATTGTCTCAATAAATTTCTTAATACTATCTACATTAAAACGTAACAATTGATAGATTTTTGAACATAATGGTTACTTAATCAAGTGTGCAAGATATGCTGCATTTGAGAGTTGACGTTACCCTAATCGATGGTAGATTGCGTCTAGCACATTTCTCCATGATTGTCTAGAAATTATTCAAGATTCATCGATAATTCGTTGCCTTAGCTCTGCAAGACTTGCTGCTTTAGTTGTCTAAACTAAATTTTTTAAGTATTTCTAATAAAAATAATCTTTAGGATTGATGTCAGGTGAACGTGGAGGCCATTCAATTCTACCTCATCTACCAATCCATCGCCCGGAAAATATCTTATCTAAATAAAGCCGAACATTTACACCAAGTTTCTCAGTGTAGGTACAATTTCATTTCTTAGTAACATGTCGTAACTATCTGAAGTTAAAATTCCTTCGATCAAAAATGGCCTAATTAACTGAGTACCTACTATACCTGACCATTCATTAATTTTTTGTGGTCTTTGAGTATGGTTTTAAGGCATCTAGTAGGAATTTACATCACTCTAGTACCTTTTATATCTAGTGTGGATTTAAACTTCCACACAGTGTAAAGGTTGCATCATCTAAAAAAACATTCTGTTAACGAAATTTTTATCATTTTTAATTTTATCCATGATTATCTCAGTAAACTCTAATCTACGATCGAAGTCATCTTCACTTAATTCTTGCAATAACTTAATTTTGTATAGTTTAAATTTATTCTTACGTAATACACGAAAGACTAAAGAACGACCTACATCATGCACTTGTTCAACCCTGCGTGAGGATGTATGTGGATTTTCAACAAAACTTTGCATTATATCTAAAGTTTTCTTGCCATTCATAACTCTTTTCGGTCTAACCTATCGGTATTCATCTTTTATTTTTCCAGATTTCTCAAATCGCTTTACAGTTTTTTGTACCGTGGCCTTAGAATAGGAGAACGGTTTGGGAAAGTATCATTGAACAAGTAGGCTACTTCACAATAAGATCTTTTTCTGTCACCGTATTATCTCATTATTAGAATAGACCTTCCAGACTATATAAAATTATAAGTTTTATATATGGTTGAACTCGTATTGAATAGGAGATTCCAATATTGACTGAATATACAGGGTGATGAATTTGAAAAAGCAAAGTTACTAATAATAAGAGGAACGGCAAATCTGGCAACATTGCAAATAATAAATATGGAATACCCGTATCCCAAAATAGGTGTAGCTCAAATTTTGTACAATTATGAGCAGCAATATTTAGCAATTTACGTGATAATTGGCCGTTTCCAGACTTTTGGGGCACTCTGTATATATATATATATATATATATATATATATATATATATATATATTATATACATATATATATATATATATATACATATATATATACATATATATATACATATATATATACATATATATATATATATATATATATATATTATATACATATATATATATATATACATATATATATATACATATATATATATACATATATATATATATATATATATATATATATATATATATATATATATATATATAGGTCTATATAATTTGATCAACATGTCTTAATTCCAGAAAATACATATACAATATATACATATATATATACATATATATATATATACATATATATATACATATATATATATATATATATATATATATATATATATATATATTATATACATATATATATATATATATATACATATATATATACATATATATATATACATATATATATATATATATATATATATATATATATATATATATATATATATATATATATATATATATATATATATATATATATATAGGTCTATATAATTTGATCAACATGTCTTAATTCCAGAAAATAGTAATAATTAAAACCTATGATATAAAAAACAGCTTCAAAGCTTAAAAACCTAATAAATAAATCCAAAAATATTAAGAATTATAAAAATGTTATTGCATATTAAAATAAGAGAAACATGAATTATTTAGAATAAAATATCTTCCTGTTTTTATAAATAATATTTGAAACAAGCTAACCTTATAATAGGTATGCGTAACATATGCTATTAAAACTATTACTAATATGTATGATATAATAATAATTAAAAAATTAAAATCTTACTGACCTGTAGTTGGGTACCAGAATTACCTCCTGATGATGATAAGAATGGAGCCGAACTCACGAACACGAACACACTCAAAAAACTTACGAGAATGACGTAACACTTCATTTTGACTAGAGTAGGTAAATAGGCAAATCTGAAACAGAAATAAGACCCATTAATTTATAAATTCGTTTACCACTTGCAATATTGTCTTAACTTAGTCTTGCCACTTTCACTTATGGCAATGTATAGTGGGTACGCACACATGTATTGAGGACTTACATAAATTCTGTTTAAATTGTACAGGGTTAGACAATTGAGTAAATATTGTGGTAAACCGCATTAATATACCGTTTTCATTTTTAATAAACTACACAATAAATTAACTACCTTATTATAATGAATTTAAGGTTACGATTGTTACAAAAATGTTGGCTTATATATATATATATATATATATATATATATATATATATATATATACATATATATATATATATATATATATATATATATATATATATATATATATATATATATATATATATAATAGTTTGAGTTTAGTTCTTGAACCTTAATATATATTTTTTAGTGGATTCTCTTGGGCTTAGGTTTTTATATATTTTTTTTTCCTCTCATTCACGGAGATTGCGTAGCCACGAGATTTTACATCTTCCTACGCTTCTTCTACCTTTGATTTTACCCTGCATTATATTCCTTAGTAGTTCGTACTTTTCACCTCTCATGATGTGCCCCAATTTCCTGATTTTTATGGAATTTAAAACTTCGCATTGTTTTGCTAGTTGTTCGAGAACTTGTTCGTTTGTTTTGCGATCCATCCATTAATTATCTTTAAACTTCTCTTATTACAATAACGTAAACACAAATGAAACAAACTGTTTGAAGTAATTTCTAATAAAAATATAACTTTTGAACAAAAAACTGTTTTAATTTTTATGTAACTGTGTTATATAACTGTTTTTAATGTTGAAAAAAAGTAATTAAATGTTGTATATAAGGATTGCAAACGAGCTAGACAGGGAAGTAAGAAGACAATTACAAAATCACAGAAATGAAAGTTGGGACACCTATATCCAAGAACTAGACCTCAATAGATCCGCCTTAATAAAGCTGACAAACGCCAAAAATCTACCCACAAAACCTATTGTTTACATTACATAACATAATAAACAACATGCTTAAGCTAAGATATTTTCCAGACAGATGGAAGGAGGCAAGTAATCATGATTGCTAAGCCAGGGAAAAAGGCACATTTTTCACTAAGCACCATACCAGAAGCTCAATTCGGGTTCAGAAGCGAACACTCCTGCGAACTACAGGTATTACGACTCACAGAATTTACAGCAAAAGGATTCAACGAGAAATGTATACAGCAACAGCTTTTCTGGACGTCAGTATGGCATTTGATAGGGTCTGGCATGATGGACTCATTTATAAAATGAATTCAATGGGATACAGCGAGGCGATGACATGCCTCCTCGGATCATACCTAGCCAACAGAAAGTTCAGAGTTCGAATAGGGGCAACCCTATCCGAAGTCGGGACCCTGAAAGCAGGTGTGCCTCAGGGAGCTGTGCTATAGCCGTACCTGTACACCATCTGCACGACCGAAACGCCAAAAGAACCAGGATCCATGCTGAGTATTTACGCTGACAACACAGCAATAGCTGTCAGCTGGAGAAACCCAGATCATATAGCTAATCATCTGCAGAGAGCACTGAATAGATTCCAAAGATGGTGCATAAAATGAAAAATAGCCTTAAACCCGGAGAAAACACAGGCTGTAACGTTTAGTCACAGAAAAAGTGTACCAAACCAAGAAATTACGATTGGGAACACCCCAGTAGAATAGACTAACGAAGCAAAATACCTAGGGGTGTTGCTCGACAAGAAACTAACGTTCACCCAACACATAAACCAACAAACATACAAAGCCAAAGCGCTGAAAAGTCAGCTCTCAACGCTCATCGAAAGAAGAAGCAAACTGAGATTTAAAATCAAAATCAAGATTGCAAATAGTATCATCATGCGAGTCCTATTGTATGCCTCCAGTGTGGGGACACACCTGTAAATCTAACAGGAAAAAAATACAGACAACACAAAACCAGATAATCAGAGATGGCCTAAACTACCAAAATACGTACCTCTAAGAATTTTATACAGAGACTCAAGACAAACAAGAATCCTATACATGCTAGACAAGAGAGCACAATAACTATTTAACGGACTAAACAACCACCCAAGCAGTATGTTAAGAGAGCTGACTAACTACAACGAAAATATCAGGACGGTACACAGAAGATCTGAACAGCAGATAGACTGATATAGGGGGATCCCAAACGAATAAATAAAGAATGAGATGGTCGGAAAGTCATCAAACAAGAAGAATGCAGCCAATCAGAAAACACCACCAAAAAAACTCTGCTACGCTTTTTAAGTTTTTAGGTTTTTAGGTTAGGACTCTGGTTAGAGAATACAGGTGCCAAGGCACTTAGGTAAGTGGCACTTAGGCACTTTTTTCGCTTATTAAAACTATACAAGTTTATAGTTTCCCAGTTTAAACCTTTGAGATCTGGATCATCCTAATTACGACGCTAATTAATTTACATTTCCAGTGTCTCTATAAAACTGCCAACGATTATGTCGGTCTCAATATATCATTAAATTTTGTAATATCTTTTCTTTAACTTTATATTGCGTTCATATTTTTATACGATTAGTTTAAGCAAGTAAATTTGTAACTTGCTAAATTTGGTCTTACTATATGCTTATAGAATTTGACAAAATTTAAGTTAGAAGAATATACACCATCTTACGTACTTATTAATGTAATTAATGAATATAAACATGTCGTTAATTATTTATTTAACACAATATAATAGTTTTAAAGCAGTTTACTCTTGCCAAACAAGTTTTGGTATTAAACACAGTACAAACAAATTAAAATGACAAAAAAATATTACACTGCAACACTGAAGGCTAACAACATACATGAAAAATGGAAAACGCGTTTATTACCTACAACCAGGTACAAGTTTTGGTATATACATTTATGGGAAAATAAATAAGAAATATGCACAAAATATCAAAAGCAACAAAATTTATGGTTATTGATAATTTAACTTTATGTCAAAGGTTTTTTTTTATTGCGTTCACGAGGATGCTGACTAAATGCTCATAATAAAAACATTAGAAAATAAACTAGTGAGACATAAGTGTACAAATATTAAAGTGCAGTTTGTTAAATATCGGTAAGACATTGCAAAAACATTAAAAAAAATATACATAAAATATATAAAAAAGAAACAGTAAAGTCATGGCATTGTTTTCTCGAATATTACAAAAACCAGTAAGTAATTTAAGATTAGAAATTAATACAAATTATTTTATATGAAATTTTATTTAAACGAGAAATGTAAATTAGAAAAATGTATACAACTTTCTAAACAGACAATCCATCAAAAAAGATTTTGGATTACAGGTCAAAATATTTACCGCTAGGACGGTCGATACATTTTCACCCCAATTTAAGAGCTATAGATTCTTTGGTCTCGTCCTTTTGTCTAATCGAATTCAATATTTTTAATTTTAGTGTTGGCTTGGTAATTACTTAGAGCGAGTAGAGCGAAAGAGAATATATTTGAATTCGGCACTGGTATGATTTAGGCTAGATTAGAAAAAAGTTAATTTCAAAAGGAATTAATTTATAATTGTATTAAATCTACCTATTATTTATTCAAGTACTAAAACCAATTGGTTTAGTAATACTGTCACTAAAAGATTAGAATCAGACCACAAAAGATTACTATTTGAGCTTTGCGAAAAAAGAGTAAAGAATGATATCAGAAATGAATTATGGTTATTATATAAAATTTATTAGAATAAGCATTTGCCAGGAAATGATATACCAAATATTATTTTTTATCACTTAAGCACTTTGTGTAACTCTGATACTAATACGCAGTTTTTTTAATTTTTGACACTTTTGCCGAAAACGAGTAGAATCAACACAAATAGCTAGATGCGATCTAATTCTTGCGACAGAATTCTCTCCAGAACTTGTTTAATTGGAGCTGTGCCAGACGTCTATGACATGAATCTTTTCACATTGATTACGTGCTTAGCCTTTAAGAAACAATCTAAGCAAACGATTTAATTACTGATATATTTCATGGGGGTCGAGCTAAATGAAAGAAAGCACCTGGACCAAACGAAATAACCAACAGGGCTCTAAAATACCTTTCAACGAAAGTAGTCGGTTATCTGACCAACATAATAAATACACTGATAAGATTCAGAATATTCTATAATCTACGGAAAGGAGATCACAATCTATAAACCAGAAATAACATAATTTTTCCACATAACTATAGATCAGTAACCTTACTGTTAACAGTCAACAAAATTGCTAACAAAGTGACAATCTCAATCCATTGCAGCAAACTTAAACGCAGACAGTACACTGGAGCAGCATTCCTAGACGTGAGCAAGAATTTGACAGAGTTGCCACAAAGTAATGATCTGAAAATTAAGAACTATGAATTCAGCAATGCCATGGCAGAGATACTCTACTCGTATATCGCAAACCCAAAATTCAAGATTCGCCTAGAACAAGTCCTATTTGAAGTCGGAATTCTGGAGGCAGGAGTATCACAAGGAGCTGTTCTGTGTCTGATGCTGTATAACATACACAGCTGATGCTCTCCATAACACCTTATGGCCAAGCACATAAACCAATACGACTAGAAACCTTCAGACAGTACTAGACGCACTAGAAATATAATGCACACAGTGGACAATTGCAAAAAAATCCAGAGAAGACCCAAGAAGTGATGTTTATGAAGAGACGCGGAACAACTACAGATATCGGACACTCCTATTGGATGTTCAAATAAAGCAAAATACCTCGGTGTCACAATGGATAAGGAAATCACGTTCACATCTCATATAAGAACAGTACAAAAGACAAAAATTGTACAAGCCACTATCACAAGTTTTATTAAATTAACGTTCAGAACAAATATAAGAGAGACCTCCAAGCTACGGGAATTAAGAATTTGACGGAGATTGCTCGAGATAGAAAGAAATAAAGGCATCATATTGCT